TCTTTCTTAGAATAAAACTTCAACAAACACTTTTTTACTTACACTTTATCTTAAATAAACATTATTGATGCAAAAAAATATATTAATCTTTCAGAATTATTTGGATTTTGCTTTGTTTCAGATCATCCAACAATTTTATTTCTAGATAAAGACAGCATCAATAAATGCAAAAAGCAAATTTCCTCTGGTGATTTCCTTTATTAGGGGAAATAAAGCTTTCTGAACTAGACTTGTTAAGGTCTATTTAAATAATAAATTAACTGTGATTAGCAACCCTTTTTGGAAAACTTGGTGCAATTTCAGCAGCTCGACCTAATTACTGCAATACCTGTAGCATCAGGAAATTCACTTAAATAGAGCCTATCTGACAATGAAAATAGGGATGAAATACGTCTCAGTGCAACACATCATTATTTCTACGTCTTTGGTGTGCCAGTGAACCACAGTGAGAGTCATTCGACAAATTTAGAAAACCCTGAGCAATGGGGAGATTTCCCAGAAGAAACAGACCTTCATAACTTATTTTAAGAACTGCAAGCCTCTTTTTCTGCCATTCAAGCCATCATTAGTGCTTCCACAGTAAGAAAGTGACTGGGTAAAATTACATTAATGGTAGAGTGCCAAACCAGCTTTTGAAGAATAAAATTCCATCTCATATTTAACCAACAATACTCTGATGGTTTCTCAGGACGTCAACCATAGTGGTAAAATGATGGTCTAGGTCTGTTTTGCTGCTTGATGATCTGGATGACTTGTAATTGATGGAAACATCAATTCAGTTCTCTACCATAAAATCCTCAAAGAGGTTGTTTGCCCATTGCAACCTTAAGCTAAAAGGCAGTTGGGTGATGCAGTAGGACAACAATCTATATTAATGTTGTTGTTTTTCAGGCTTTAACTAGTCCTGCTTCCCTCTCCACTCTTCAGTCTCTGACAGACCCAGTACTAAATGTGGGAGAGTTTTAAATGCAGCAATGTGTTTTACTGTTGATAGATTTGGCATACATAATTTACAAATTACTACCAATAAGGACACTTGTGTGGATTGGTTCGAAGGAGTGTTGTACTGATCTGATGGAGGAGCAAGGTGTTTAGAAAATGTGGCTGAGTGAAAACAAGTGGAAGGAATTTTACTTCACAAAATCAAGCAGAACAAATTTCAAATCTTTCACCATCAACTTCTAATTTGAAGTAGACTTATCAATAATATTCACAGCAACATTGTCACTTTTTTATACCCCATGTAAAATAATGTTTTACAGATGGTACAGATATAGTGATTTTTAACCATAGTTAAAAACCTGTGGTTTTTAACAACTTTTTGTAACCATAATTAAAAATCAAAAGATAGAAGAAAAACTTTTTTCTTCAGTGCAGTCACATTTAATGTACACTCTATCTGCAATTAAATCCAGCATGTTTCCTTGAGAGTGGAACCAATTAAACGGACCCCTGCAAAACAGATGATCAGGTCTTAGAATTAAATTTACTTCCACATATGTTTTGTAAACAATGGGACGCGAAAAATGTGGAAGGAGCAAATCAGAATCTGTGTATGTCATCAAAATTGTTAAGAGCTCTGCTGTATTTACCATGAAACAAGGTGCTTCTATTTCAATTTTAATATTATTAGTGCAGAGTCCAAATCAGATTCTGCTTAGGGTCTCATGTAAATTTTCTGAGTTTTGTAGGGTAGGCTACACAGTCAAACTCTATTTTTAGTGCCTGAAACTTGATTAGTGTTTAACCTAAACAGGTGACAGTGACAACTTTAAGCAGTTGGATATCTGAAATACAATTGTAGAAAGATCTCAATTGGCCACAACAGTTTCACTGTTACATTAAAATATCAGTGCAGAACTTCTACTGTATTAAAAAATAAAAATAAAAATCCATCTTCATAGCCAAAGACAGTCATATTTTGCATTTAAGCTGTGGTTGTGTCTGAAGCATCTCTTGTCGTAGCTGAAGTGTGACTTTCTGGCCCTGGTGTTTTATTTAAATTGCTGTGTAAAATTTTTAAAACTCACCAGTTAGATGGTTTCGAGTCACTTAGCAGACCTCATTATATGGCCTGCAGTGGGAAAAGGCTTAAAGCTCTGTCGAACAGCATCTGTCTGAGCTGCTCGAAAGCCTGTGTGAGTCGGGCACGGAACACTGACTCTGATCTCTGGAGATCAACTTTGCCCAGCTGCCTGGGTTTCCGCCAGCAGACCCTTTAACACAGCCTTGCTATAGAGGATAACTGATGAAAAGTCACCAAGAGCTGGAGTTTGTCTTTTCTGATGTGAGGTTGGTTTAGACAAGTGCTAAAGATACATAAATGGCTGAAAGCCATTGTCTGAGCTTTCTCCAGTTTTCTATGGTGTTGAGTTCTTCTAATACTTGAATGGCTCTAATCAATACACTGGAATTAATTATTTAATAAGCTGGAAATATAAGTCTTTATTGTAACTTTCTGCAGCAATTGTTTTATTTCTCTACTTTTGAGTAAGACGGAGGTCTTAAAACATGTGTTAACAAGAGATCAGCTCATATTATTTATTACAAATAATAATCTTTCTCAACTTTTTGTCACCACATGAATAAATGCATTGTGTTGCTACCATGTTATTGGCCCGTTTTTGTGTTACTAAGTTACTGAACAAATATACCCGATAAAATAATGATTATATGTATGAATTTATGATATTATTAAGCCATTTCTGCAAAGGTATTTTGTGTTAAATGTTTTAGTAGATCAACTATAACATATTCACTTGTTTTAGACTCCAATGTTTGTTTGTTTTTTGCTCATGAGATTCAATTGCGTGTGTAGAGCTACTGTAGTGATGGCTTTTTCATAGCTGTCCTGTTATAGTATGCTTATTTGCTGTGAACTCTCAACAACTTACAATGGCATCGCAGCAAACATTGCTATTTGTTGCAATGCGGTATGCTGTAAATGTTCACTATTTTGTAATATGTGTTGCCAGCCAGTTCTGCACTTTGATTCTGTCTCAATCTGATTCTAAGTAGGGGTTTGTGGAGTTTCTCGGTTTCAGTCAAATGAATTAGTTGTAATTTCATTATGGTGTATAAAACGAGACAGTGTTTCATTGTTTCAAGTCACCACTCAATAGACAGATTAGTGTTAGAAGATTATAAACACATAAACCACAATTAGAGAAAGACATAAAATAGATAGAATATAAAATAGGCGTATTGATGTGATGTGCATAATCTCAGCAGCATCAATTTAAAACAATTAAATTTAAGAATGAAAGGGGCGTTGTTGTCTGCTTGTTCAGCTTTGAATTTTATGCACCCGGAGAGGATTTATGGAGTTGGTGACAATATTGAGATCTCTGTTCCTGCAGAGGCTCAGAAACAAACCTCAGACAGAAGGTAAGGACGCTGCAAGGATCTTCCCAGCTCCTCTCACTGTCCTCTGCAGGGCGCTCTTGTTAGCCTATTGCAGATGGAGTACCATTCTGAAGTGCAGAATGCTCTGAGGATGGTTGTAGGAACAGTGTGGTTTGTTGCTCGGACATTGCGGTCTCTGCTAGGCCAGTTTCAAGTTCCCAGAGATCAATACTCCAAAGAATGTTATCTCTCTGTGCTGAACAATTGCTGATGTTAATATTGTGACCTTTGGAAGTTGATAATCATTGTTTTTTTTATTTTTTATTTGGCAACTTCTCCCTGTACACTGAATCATCATTTCTTTAAGTTAGTTCCACTATGTCTGCATCATTTGATTATGTAACTTTTTGGCATATCAATAGTATCATGCTAATTATTTCTAAAGATAAGTTAATTTTTAAGTTTTTCTAAAACAACATAACCATCCACACATGCTGCGGAAAAAGCTCTTTGAATGTGGAAGTTTTTTGGCGTAAAAAAAATACCTGCAGTGACTCTATATTAACCCTCTGCTGAATGACGTATTGACTATACAGTCTTCCGTGAGCGGGTCTTTTTGGACCCGTGTTTAAATCAATGTGTTTTCATGCTACTTTGGTCATTTTGATTCAAAATAATGTTTAGTATGAAATATTTTCATTTCACTTTTGTAAGCATTTTTATAAGTAATTGTACAAGATTTGTGATGATTTTTAGAACATTTGAAAAAAAAATGACAGCAATTTAACAACAGCAGTGTTGTAAAATAATGGAACGATGTGTATGTGGGTGTGTGTGTGTGAGGGAGTAAGGGGAGGTGGGAGGAGCACGTTTCTTGAAACTGGCTAGCGAACCAAGCTTGTTAACATTGCCATCTGTATTCTATTGTGCTGTGTGTATCACGCATGTGGGGGTGTGTATGTATGTGTTTTTATCCATCCATCCATCCATCCATCCATCCATCCATCCATCCATCCATCCATCCATCCATCCATCCATCCATCCATCCATCCATCCATCCATCCATCCATCCATCCATCCATCCATCCATCCATCTTCCGTTTATCTGAGGTCAGGTTGTGGGGTAGCAGCCTAAGATGGGAGGCCCACAGTTTGCGCTCCCCAGTCACTTGTTCCTGCTCCTCCAGGGGAATCCCAAGGATGTCTCTAATCTCTAATTGGACCCTCTTATGCATCAGAGGGTTAAATATTAAGAGCTGCTGTACTATTCTGGCATTGCTTCGATCCTAGTTAGAGGTTTCATCTGAGATCGGATAGATTTTTCTGTCTGAGTTTCTGATTCAAGGATGTTTAAACACTATATTTACAATAAGTCACTCAGGGGACTACTTTTCTTTGCAGTGAAATTGGGTAAAAATAGATGGCAGTTGCTGCCACCGAGGTGCATTCATTAATTTTCTAAACTAGTGCCTGTTCAAAGCCAGTGCTTCTTTCTCTGATAATCAGAAAACCTCTGCAATGACTACCTCTTCTACACAATTACATACTGACATGTAATACATCTTGTACTGGTGCACAGCTTGCAGTGGTGCTGTGGTGAGGTTGTTACTCATACTCATTCTCTTTTTGGGGCTTTTTTTGTTCTCTGTTTACAGATTTACACACGCTACGGGAAATGCTACACCTTCAACTCAGGGTTAGATGGCAACCCTCTGCTGACCACATTGAAAGGAGGCACAGGGAATGGCCTGGAAATCATGCTGGATATCCAGCAGGATGAATACCTGCCTGTTTGGGGGGAGACAGGTCAGTGCAACTTTAAACACTGTTCTTACTTATACTAACAGGTGAACAGACTTATGGAAACCTCTCCATATAAGGATCTACCAGTCCTTGCAAAAATATTCCCGCCCCTTGATTTCTTTCACATATTATCATGTTACAATCACAACCTTCTGAGTATTTAATTGGGATCTTCTGTAATTAAAGCAAAAGGAGAATTGTATTTTCCAATATTGTTGTAACGAAGCAAAAACCGTGTGGCTTGTATTTGTGATCAATACAAGCCACTTAAATACCACTAAACAAAACCTACTGAGAACAGACCCATAGAAAGCAATGCTTAAGAAAAAAACCTGCAAGAAGCTGCTGAATTCATACGACTTTGGGTCAACATTCAGCTTCCAGTGGGACAGCAAACCTAAAAAGCTTCAATGGAATGGTTTAATTCAAGCATATCCATGTGATAGAATGGCCCTGCCGGCCCTCAGAATTAAATCCAATTAAAAATAAGTAGCAAGGCTTCAAAATAGCTGTTTGTAGATGTTCTTCATCTAATCTGACTGAGTTTACATTGTCAGATTGCCAATTCATTTACACAGGAATGGGCAAAAATCCCCATCCATAGCTGTGAAACACTTATACAGAATTCTTTCATACCCTGAAAGAATTCAGGAGGTCTAAATACAAACTCATGGCAAAATACACTAAAACTATTTATTTATTTGTTTTAGTTGGTCTGTTGCTTAAAAACGACTCAAGTGATATTAATATTTTCAGAAGCACTATGGAAAAGATTTTAAAAAATTCATCTGTAGTATTGTATTGTTTTCTTATGTTTTATTGTTTCCATTGTTTTTCTTCAGGTGCACTACTGTGGTCCAATAACATGTGCTCTAATAAATCTCTATTGCAATATACAGGGACATTACTGGTTGTGAATCTATTTAAAGTGAACTAACACACCAGCAGTTTCATTGGTATTGTTTCACCCAGAAGGTTTTAAAACACTCTTATTGCAAAAATTGTTAATCATAGAGTGCTGAAACCGAAAAAAAACACCCACAGAGCGGCTTCCCTTTGATGGCCGTAAATGTTATATTTTCTGCCGTGCTGTATCCACAGATGAGACATCGTATGAAGCAGGCATCAAGGTTCAGATCCACAGCCAAGACGAGCCACCCTTCATTGACCAGCTGGGATTCGGTGTAGCCCCTGGTTTTCAAACTTTTGTGTCATGTCAGCAGCAACTGGTATCTAACAATCAGCCTCCAACCCCTTTTCTTTCCCACTCTGCCTCACTGAGTGTTTGTCCCCAAATTTTTTGCCAGCTAGTGTCCATTATCGCTGTGTGACAGTGCATGGAGCAAAATCAGATCGCTGATTTCCCCTCTCTGCGAAAAGTGGAGTTAGTGTGGTTTTCACTAAATGAAACTTGGGGAATTAAAGCAGCCAAGAATTATTGAAAGAGCAGGGCCAAGTAATGATTAGATGGAAGCATATGAGTGTAATGTTCCTTACAGAGCCAAAACCACTTAGGACTGCAAAGCATGCAAAAATATATGGCTGCTCAGACTGAGTCCTTTATTTTTAGCCAAGGAGGAAAAATATGAATGTGGCTTTTTGATCACTTCAAAACCTGTCAGCATTTACAAAGTGAAGTGCAGCATGTTTTATTTCAAAGTGCTTTTATTTGCAGGTTTCAAAAAGAAAAAAAATATCTTGCATCATCTTACAGTATCACCAGCTAAAAATAACAAAAAATCTGAAAACACTTGGATAAGTTCTTGAGGGAAAGGTGTAAAAAAGAAACGTGGCAGACTTCTTGTTATGATGGCTAGTTTTCCACTTCCAGCGGCTCTAAAAGCATACTTTTTTATGAGAGCAATGACCTACAGTTATTTTGCACAGACTTTGATTTAAGGACACAATTTTATGACGAGAAGAAATGCCTGTGGCAGGGTTTGTTGACTGCAGAAAATTTGCACGACAGCCCAGGCCCCACCGCCGTCAGTGAAGGATGAAAAGTAATAACTACATTGGAGCCTGAATTGATTGAAAGGGCCGTCATGGATAGTCATAACAGTGAGAACACATGGATTTCCAATCCAAATCTAATGAAACTCTCCAGCATTTGTATGATGTTGCCTGTAGTACAGATTCCCCATGTGTCTTTTTTTTTTCCTCTTTTCTAGGAAAACACACAAGACAAACATCGGTCATCTCGTTTTCAGACAGACGCAGGGACAGAAAAGGCAAAAAGCTTATGTTAAAAATGCAGTGGTGCTATAAAGAGCTTTACATTTTACAATGATTATAATAATTATGCCTTATGATCAACTGTATTTTTGCATTGTGCTCCTGGCTCATTAAAATTTCTAGCGCATAATCAGTTTTAGTGAAGTAAGGGATACTTGAGCTGTTAATCAAATTAATTTCCTTAGCAATTAATGAAGCCAGATTTGAATGATTTTGCTCCGAAAGTTAATCAGCTTGGCTGCTTCATCAGCATGAACCAAATGTTAATGTAGAATCTGTCTTGTTTGAGCAGAATAGCATGGGATGATTGAGGCATATTTTTGGCACTTGGACACCACAAAAAGATTATGCATTAAATTGTTGTGAAGAACTTGCTGTGAAAAATGAGACTCTCTTATTTTCTTCTTTTAAATGTCATCAGTGCTCAAAGTTTACCATCATTCAACTGTCTTCAACAAGCGAATCAGGTATATTAATCACCATCACAGTGTTTCATCCTGAGAGCAAAAGACCATAGATTAGTCATTAATAATCATGACACAAGCAGCCATAGCAGCAATGTGTTTAGGAATTGAAAGATGGGTGCATTAATTAGGTTATCATTAAAGTCTGGCAAACATTTATATCAGTTAGTGTCCTATGCTATGAGTACAGTATGCTGCCAATGTTGTAGTTTTAAGATAAACGAGATGTGATTTCCACATTTTCATTTGTGATTCCTTTTTCAGAGGAGTTGGATTTTAAAACCCGATCCTGAAACAGGACTGAGTTGAATTCAATCATTCATTGCATCACACCAGTCAGAATTTTGGTCTAACCCTGCCAACGTGTTTCATGATATGTAGAAGTTGAAACCTCTAAAGGATATCATCAAACCACTTTGCTATGCTGCATAGTTTTGCCCTTTCTCACTTTCAAACAACCTGAATAGATCTCAAAGATTTAGAAATTGCTCATTACATGTCTCTTCCTCCTCTGGTTTTCATTTTAATACCTCTACTGAAAATAGGACTTAACAATGGATCTCTAATCCAAACTGAATCCTACAGTGCAGCAGAGTTTTTGCTTGGGACGCTCACTTTTACAGGGTATTTTCCTGATGCAACTGATCCCTTTCTGCCCTTTACCTCAGTGTTGCTTGCCTTTTGGTTTCAATTATGATGTGGGCTGTGTTCCCTCACCCCTGACCCTAGATGAGACGTCCTATGAGGCCGGCATAAAGGTACAGCTTCATTCTCAGTCAGAGCCTCCTTTCCTCCATGAGCTGGGCTTTGGGGTCGCCCCCGGCTTCCAAACATTCGTTTCCACTCAAGAGCAGAGGGTAGTGTATGTGTGACTAGGCTTGCTGCATGCTGTGAAATACCATGTTGTTCAGTTCCTCCACACCTGTTAAGTTCCACTCTTTTATCCGTTGTTTTACCCTCCCTACAAGGAATGGATTCACGTGCCTCCCGCCTGTTCACCCTTCTGTGTGGCTGAAGCAACTACTTGCAACAGTTTCTGCTGTGTAGCCTCGACATCTTTGTCTTCTCTGTTCAGAAGTTAATGTGTGTAATTTCTTTAAGTTACATATCCAAGTCTGTATTCGAATTAAAATTTTGTTTGTTGTTCAGTTGTACCCCTTCCTTTTCATGTACAGCTTTGTCAGCATGAAGTCTTTGTTTTCGCTCATATATCTCAATAGAGCATAGTATAGAAACTCTGCTTTGTAGCATCTGAAAAGACCAGACAGTGTGATTCATTAGGTTTTATCCCCTGGTCTAGTCTAGCACATTGCTCGCTTGGGTGGGGGGTCCTATCTGGTGCATGTCCACATCTGAAAGACTGTGGGCTAGAAAGGGAGTTCAATAAAAGCTTAATCATGTTTGCCAGTTTAGCTCCACTCAATCAGTGAATTGCACTTCATCTCCGTCGCTCCCTATTGACTAAATAACCCTTTGATTGTTGGAGTTGGCCTGGCAAGAACTGCTAGATACACTGGAGACTTTCACTTGACCCCAATGTGACAATAGCACACAATTCTTTTGAGACATTTGCCAGGAAAAAAGCTTTTGGCACTGATTGCTGGTCAGCCCCATGTTGCAATGAAAACTACTGCAAAAATACTGCAAAGTCCTAAAGAAAGAAAAGATTGAAAGGGAACTGAAAATCTTGTTGGTAGTTAAATGTCAGTTTTTTCAGTACAATGGAAGCAGAAGATCTGAATGGACTCCAGACACACTGAAGCAAACATAAATTAATCAAATCACTGCAATTGTAAGCCTGAATAATACATATGAACAAAATTACTATTGTTCTGTTGAAGTTTTCTTTAGGTTCATAAATGTACAGACTAGCAAAAGTATAAACATTCCTCAACCCTTTTCACATTTTGTCCCACTATGCCATCAAAACCTCAATATTTGAATGGTATTTTATAGTGCATCCAGAAAATATTCCCAGCTATTCAATTTTCTACATTTTGATGTCATGCATCCTTACTCAAAATTCTGTTAAACTACTCTCTCTCCTCAAAAGACACGTATTACTCCATTATCACTTTGGGGAAAAAAAAGTTTTGAGCTTTTAGCAAATAAAAAAAACAACAACACTAAGTTACTGTCAGGGATACAAAATCTGTCCATAGTTTGTGGTGTCCTGTCAAAACTATCCAAGTTTCAATTTCTAAAAATGTCTCTAATCCCATGGTTCTCTGTTTCCTCCCAGAAACCAAACCTGCATCAGTAATGTTCTGCATGATGTCTGCTTGCTGCGACACATGAACAGTAATAATGTTCTGACTGCAAATGTTTTGCCTCCTGTGTCTCAGAGCACATTTTTATTTAAAGACATCTGTTTCTTCAGTGTACGTATGTGTGTTGGGTTTTGTGAGCTCGTCCTCTTTTGTACTTATTCTGCTGTGCACTGGGCTTTTGTTTCTTTTTTTTTTGTTGTTGTTTGGTGTAATCCTGTGAGCCGACATACTGAGGGAAAACATGTGCTGTTTGCTCTTTCAGCTTCAGTACCTCCCACAACCTTGGGGAGACTGCAAGTCCACACCGATAGACTCAGAATTCTTCTCCACGTACAGCATCACTGCATGCCGCATTGACTGTGAAACCCGGTACCTGCTGGAGAACTGCAACTGCAGAATGGTTCACATGCCCGGTATGAATTCAGATTTAGCCTGGCTTGTGAAAATCTTTTTTTCCCCCTGTGGTGCTTAAATAAGTAACGAGCTTCACGTTTACATTATTCCAAATAGGTACTTCAACAGTTTGCACACCTGAGCAATATAAAGACTGTGCTGACCCAGCTTTAGGTAAGCCTGCACATTTTATCGTGTTCAGCATGATTATTATTATTTTTTTTTTTCTGGATTAAAGTGTGAAACCCAGCGCTCGGGAGGTTTGCCATGAGCATATTCCTGGCTTAAGATAGTTCTTATGTTGCTTCAGAAATTACTTTCCTCTCAGATAGTGCTGAAGCAAAATAATAAAATTATTGTTTAAAAATTCCATTATGAAGATTTGCGATGTGACTGTGCTTCGCTGAGCTCAAATAAATTGTACCAGTTTTATTCCCTCCTCCCTCCTCTTCTCTCCAGTAAGATGGCTTCAGTCATTATTTGCTTTCATAGAAAGTGAACGATGGCAGCAAGTATATTTCTGTTACATGCCGTGGTATTTTTAGCACCAATTAAAAGCTACTGTGTGCAGTTTTTTTTTTTTTTTTGTTTCTTTTCTTTTTTTTTTTTTGCTTTGTTTTCAAAGAGATCGCAATATTTTTAAATGACTTTGATCATCCACAGACTTTTTGGTAGAGAAAGACAACGATTACTGTGTCTGTCAGACCCCCTGCAACATGACTCGCTATGGCAAGGAGCTGTCCATGGTAAAGATCCCCAGTAAGGCATCTGCTAAATATCTGGCTAAGAAATTCAACAAAACTGAGCAATATATTGGGTAAGTATTATGTAGTAACAGTGAAGTATTTAGTCAGCTATTTATTTTTTTTCCTGATGCATTTTGAGCCAAGTCTCCATCGTTCACCTTCAATGTAACAATAATGAAAGAATCTTATTCAGGTAAATGTGAGATATAAACTGATGTAATGTTATATATCACAGGATATAATATGTGCTGGGTATACTCTTGTCTGTCCTCTACAGAGAAAATATATTGGTGTTGGACATCTTCTTTGAAGCTCTAAACTATGAGAAAATTGAGCAGAAGAAGGCCTATGAAATTGCAGGGCTTCTCGGTAAGACTCTCACAGTTGCCTATTCTCTAAGAGAAAAAAGCATGACTTTGGTATCAGCACTTAGCAGATCCCTGGTGCAAAGTTCACATTGTGCATCGGAGCCTGGTGCTTTGAGGCTTCCTCTTTGAACTCTCAGATAGGCTGAACACATTTTCATAATCTGATGCTCTTCCAAGGACAGCAGGGCTGGTTCTGATGAGAAACTGGGCCTGCGTGGACACTTTTGACAACTCTGTTCAGATTGCTCAGAGATACAGTGAATTAGATGTGACAGCAATGGGAATGACTTCATGCACCATTGTTCAATTAATGTACCTGCCTATATCTGTTAATCTCTTCCTCTGTAGGTGACATTGGAGGTCAGATGGGGCTTTTCATTGGAGCCAGTGTTCTAACAATACTGGAAATATTTGACTACCTATACGAGGTAAAAACTTGGCCTTTTTTACTTATTCACATGTAATTTGGAACTATTATCATAGCAAAGCTTCAGTGCGATATTATTTTTGTTTTATTTTATGTAGACTTTATATTGCCTAGAGAGTACTTGGTGAGACTACTTTGTAGTCTCACCAAGATTGGCTGAGCTACAAAGTTTCACAAGGAAAATGTAAATATGCACTACAGGTTTTAGTATTTACATATCTATGACTCCTTAACAGTTCATTAATCTGCAAAATACTTGCATCCCATTGACTGTCCCTCAGAATCCTTACAGGACAGGAAAAAAGAAGGATGCCCACCAAAAAATAGCTTTGTGAATGAAAGTGCACCAGTAATTAAAATGTCCCTCCTCATTTCTTGTTACAACTAAAAGCTTCTCTGAATACATTTTTCACATAGAAACAGAAGCTTTTTCCTATTCTTCTTAACAAAAATACCTCAATATCAGTCACATTATGTGGGAATCATCTGTTAACATACATTTTTAAATCTTATGACAAGTTCTCAATTGAATGTATGTCTGTACTTTGAATGGGTCAATCTAAGACATGACCATCCTGTGTTCTAAACCATTCCATTTTATCTCTAGATGAAAACATAATGTCACTCTCCTGCTGGAAAATAAACTTCTGCCCCATTAAAGTATTTTCTATTAAAATCCTGTATTTAGCTCCATACGTCTACCCTTTAGATGTATCAGGGATTATATGTCCCTGATGAAGAAACTCATCACCCTTGCATAATGCTGCCAACACCATCCTTTAGGATTATGTGTTCAGGGTGACGAGTTCTGAACACTGCTGCAGTTTTCCATCTTTTATAATGCTCCTGATCACATCACCATCGTCTGTATTTTTGATTCTATGTAACAGAAATTGTACATGCTACTTCTCACATCTTTCTAAAAAAAAGAATTTTCTTCTTACCTTTCTTCCCTTAAGGCCAAATCTGTTCGGAGCGTGATTTAGAGTTGGCAACTGCTTCTCCCACCGGAACTGTTGATCTGTGCCTTCTGGGACCATTGAATTGTTCAAAGCTTAGGCTGATTTTTTTTTTTTATAACCTAAACTTTCTTTCAGTTTCTCATATAGCTTCATTATTTTTCTTCATACTTTTCACTGATGATTTCAAGCAAACCTCTAAAACCTTCACTGAACATCTGGATTGATACTGACCATACATTATGAAGCTTATTTATTAATAAGGGGACATTTGACGAGACTGCATTAGATTAAATTTAGTGGTTTCAGGGAACATAAATGCATACTTTATAAGTGTTCAGATTTTGATTTGTTAAACATTTAAAGAGTGGGAATACTGTTTTGATGCACTGAATGCTTTTTATTTATTTCTGATGTTAAGTCATCCGCTGAATATGTTACAGCCTTCTAGAACCATATTGTGAAACCTTCAATTTTTTTCATTTTATAGACCTTGTACACCTAAAGCCATCTTTATGCTTGAAAAAGTGGGAACCGAAGGAAAACATGCAACTGCTGTTTGCACATGTGACACCAGGAAATTGTCCACATGAGAAGTGGAGAAAAAATAAAATAGCATGAAAAATAGGGTTTTGTGTTAATTTAGAGCATGATACAAAAGAGCCACTGTGAAGTTTGGTGCTTCTGGTTTGCAAAACTGGGAGGATGGAGAAAAGACTATCAGCTTGATATACATTAAATAATGTATATTTCAAGGTGAATTTAAGCCAAAGCCAAATCTCAAGTGATTGCTACATAGGTGAAAAAAGACCAGGATCCTCATATTTTCCACAAATCATCACTAAATACAGCTTCAAAAATGCATTTATGGAACTTATTTCCCAGACTTCAATCGAAATTGCATTTTTTTCTTTGACTTGAACTAGCACAAAGATTTGTAAAATAAACTTTTTACCCATAAGCTATATGAGCAAAATGAATGCATGAATAAATAAAATGAGGATACTGTGGCAGCAAAAAGTATTTTTTTCTTTAGTGATTACAGTTGAGCTTTTCATATGCCAAGATTAAAACTGCAATGTCTGAATTGCTCTTGCTCCTTATTGCCTCTTAAGGCTATATCTCAAGTGTCAAAAATATGCTGAACTTTCAACGCAAATGTGGAAACTTCATGAGGCAGTCAAATGAAGAAATAACCAATGTAATAACTGAACTGACTGGCAAAAATGAGAAGGAAGAAGAGAAAGATCCAATAACAGATGCGGCTAAAAACACAAACTGCAAATCAAAACTACAACCAAGGATTCTGCTGTGATTTCAATAGAATAAGAAATTTGACAAACATCAACTGAATATAAACCAAGCGTTTTATAGGTAGACTTCACGGAACCTCATAGGCCACTTTCAAAACCTACATGGATAAATTCAAACCAGTTTTACAATGTCAATTTTACTAACAAATGACTCACATTTATACTCAATAAACACTTAATTTCTACAATAATTTTTCTTTAGAATATAATGAAATCCAGTTGCTTTAAGCCTTACTGCTAAAAAAGCAACCTGAAATGTCAACACTTGCTAAATGTGACATTTCTTCAGCAGCAGCTGTATTTCCCGAGAACTGCAGTGTTCATCTTTTTTCAATCTTAGTGGAATTGCAGAAATAATCTTTTCAAAGATCTTGAACGTCATTAAGTCTTGCGAATTATGTTTTTTGTGTCTTCTTTTAGGTGTTTAAGGATAAGGTTCTGGGTTACTTTGTGCGCAAGAAACGGCCGCAGCGTTGTCAGAGCGACAATCTGGTAATTATTTTTTTCTTGTTCTCTCTGAAGGCAAGTGGATGAATAAAAAGAAGGTCACGTATCACTGAATGAGCTAAAGAACAACAAAATGTCTACTCACATTTTAACACTAAATAGTGCAACATAGTCAGAAAAGACTAAAACTCATCAACTGACATGAACATCTGGGAGAAATAGTATGTTTTTCTTTTTCTCTTTTTTTTTTAGAAAATATACGAACCCACTCAACTTCACATAGCTGCTTCTCTATATTTATTGTAAGAAGCTAAAAAGTTTTGTTGCTCACAGATATTTGAAAAAAAGTATCTTTCTTAATTAAAAAGATCCTTGCAGAAAAAGACAGCGAACACTCAATGACAATAATAAATATACATTATACAAATATTAATATTTTTCAACAAAAGACAATCATTTGAATTGTAAAAAGTGAAAATTTAGTCAAATGTCAGATTTTTAATCAGCAAAAAATCCTTCTCTCATATTTCAGTGACTTCTTAAATTAGTAAACCAATAATGATAAAAGTAATAGTAATAATTCTGTAAGAGAGGCTGGACAATTAAATCCTCTTCAATCTCATAATTTGTAAGATGTGCTAGCTTGTACTTTAAGTATGATTTAAGCTTGCATTTCACTTTACCTTCTTATTTCTTATTTCTACTTATAAGTAAGTTCACAGAAAGTTTAAACATATGTTTCATAATTTAATCATTATATTTCAAACTTGTTTTTCAGCAACTGTCCATCTGAGAGTTACCAATGAATTATTTCTTCCGACGTCAAAAAGTAATACGCATGCAAATATCTTACCAGCAATGGACAACTCTCATAACTCACAAAGCATGCATGGCATTAGACATTTGTTGTCACAGAAACCAGTTATTCTTTGAAGTGGTTCTGGAGTTACGGAAGAGTATGCTACCAGTGACCTGTGTGAAGTAAAAGATGAGAACAGAACATATAAAGCCAAACTTTCTGATGTGATGTAAGTGGTTTAAAAAACACAAATTTTAAAGATGTTCAAGAGAAAGCTAATTTACTGATTAAATAAGATGCCAAAAGAAGCATAAACTATAGTTAAGGTAGGTGCTGCTTAAACCTCTCAGCATATCCTCACCTCAAAAGTTATGAATTATCCCTCTAATAATTTCTAAAAGTACAATTTAATATCTACCAGCAATCATTTAAGCTTTATTTGCATATGGCCTCTTATTATCACAGAGAGTTTATGGTTTTTGTCACAATTAGTTTCACACCAATTCTTTTTGCACTATGTTTTCTAAAGTCCATGTTCCTGTGTTGATAAATATGTAATTTAAGTTTTATGTAGAGGTAGAAAACATTCTTGCTTCCCTGTAATATGGCAGGAACAATAGAACAGATTCACATCCAAGAAGGCAGAGAGTATGCTATTAAAATAGATTTGAAGATTTTATTGACCTTTTATGTTAGTGTTGTTTTCAGAGTCAATGAAGCCAACTATTTCATTTGAGCAATGGGGAAGATTTTCCTTAAATCACAGAATTTTGTGGAAGCCAAATGTACCATGCAGGAGAACCTCCACCCACCTCATGATTGACAGCAGAAAAACATCTTCTAGATGTTACTAACCATGTATTTATAATAATAATAATATTATATTTATATATATATATACAACAAAAATTTTGTGCATTTCAGAAAAAGCTTAGCCTTATCGAAGCTAAAACTGTTCTTGTATTTCAGTGTCATTGTAATTAAGGTAATTTCATTAAACTTTATTTACAAGTGGGCATTTTTTGTCTTTGAGTTTATTCCGCTGCCCATTAGGCAAACAGTTTTCAGAATACTGAAAACACAATGCGTGTCACATTTGGGAACCAAGAAATATGGCACAGAAAATAAGTTGTGGCTGACCTTTTTTCATTTTCTGCATGAGGAATTTTAGCTTGTGCATGCTTGGTTGGATAGGGTTCAGAACTGATTTATTATAGAGTGAGAAGTGTGTATAACAAAAAGTTTATTGTGTTTCGACAGAGTGAAGATGCTGTTTATATAATGGGCACGAGCCAGTACACTAAAGAAGAAATTTGTTTAAGTTTGAATTTATTGGATTTCTCCTGTGGGGGAGGGAGAAATTGCTTAGTGCCCTAAGCAATTTTTAAACTGTTTATCTTTTGTATTTAGCTCCATATACACTCCCTTGAAAAAGTATTTAGACTCTTTATGCTTTGCACATTTTGTCATGTTACAGGCACAAATTGCAATGCATTTTATGAGAAGCACCTGTGACAGATTAACACATAGTAGTAAATAACTGATAAATAGAAGGAAATGACATTAAGATGTTTTCATTTGTTTTACAAATAAAAATTGAAAATGGTGGCATGCATTTTGTGTTTAACCCCTTGAGTTAATAATTTGCACAACCACCATTCCCTGAAAGTACCACCTTCAGGCTTGGGGGGTTTGTCTCTAACATCCCGATCATGTATGCTGAAATTTGTGGTTGTGACATGAGAAATTTTAAGAAAGGCCAAAGGTGTTTAATATTTCACAAGGCATGTATGTCATGTGGTCACCTTGCGAGAAGCCATTGCTATCATATTTTTGTTTCTGTCCAACATGCAAAAGTTGGGCCGAGAAGTGTCCAAACATTTGCACTGTGTCTGTTATTACAATTCCATTGTCATATCTCCTTTTACACTACCGAAGAAGAAAGTATGTTATCTCCAATTGGATTTTGAATGAGGGAAAATATTGCAGGAGATTGATAAGCAGATTGGTACAACGTCTTCAATAAAACAAGCGCTGTACCAGTCTGTCATGGTTAAGAGTGAGCAGTACCGCGAGGGAACGCTCTTATTTCACTGACCTATCGACGTTCCGATCTTCATCTACGGTCACAAGCTTAGGTAGTGATCTAAAGAATAAAATTGAGGATACAAGCAGCCAAAATTACTTTCTGTTACAGGGTGTCTGTGCTCTCCCTCAGAGATGGGGTGAAAAGCCCGAGCCAGTTGTGGTGGCTCTGGCATTTGGTTAGGATGCCTCATGGATCCTCTCCTGGTGAGGTGGCTGCGTCCCACCAACAGGAGACCCAGAGAAAATCCAGGACATAATGGAGAGACTATGTTTTCCAACTGGCTTGGGAACACCTTGGGATTCCCCTGGAAGAGTTGGCCCAGGTGGATGGGGTCCCTGCCCTTCGATGAAATAATGGCTGGATAGATGGACAGATGGATGGATGGCTGGATGGCTGGATGGATGGATGGATGGATGGATGGATGGATGGATGTTTTATTCTGAACTCTCATTACCCCCATTGGTCATCAGCACATCTAGATGTTAGTAACCAGTCTTTCATTTAAAAAAAACAGCTTTACATTTAGTTTCTGGAGACCCTGTAATGCAGTTTCTCCTCAAAGTTTACCTTATAACATTTACATTGTTTTTTTTATTATTTTATTTTCATTTAAATCACCCTCACCCATCTTTCTTTTCATCATGTCTATTCCAGGAGTTTCCAGAGAACCCAACCAGCCCTGGTGTCACGCCTAATCATGCCCCCAGGTAGCACACCCCATAAATAACAGATGCTCCCTCCTATGCTGTCCCTCTCTTTCATTCATACCTAAGATTCATGCCATGCATCAGTGGTTACAAAAGAATTATTTGGAAGTCAAAAAGAGAGGGGTGATTAACCGGCTCTGGTGAGCATTTTGACATCTTTTTCTACCCCAGGACAGGTCAGTCAAGAAGAGTGTCTGTTTTTTTTAGGCTCACAAAGAGAGACAGAGTTGGTTGGATTCTCCTGTAAAATTTACTCTGTACAGTATAAAACCTGCTCCATCCACTGAATAATGATGCTTTCCCCATATAAGTTAAAATAAAACACATATTTACTCCGCTGTACAAAACATTGGCCCACTTGAGACCCATTTGTCTCCCTGCAGTGCAGAGGTCCATTCAGCTGCAATGCATTTCAGGCTTATGCCAGATAACATCACTAGATCATCACATTGTGACGTGACGTTATCACAGGCCTGCATGCAATGAGTTTGCCTGATATACATATGGGTAGTTGCTGGAATAATATTTTTCAGAGTAATACACATCGACAACTTAAACATCAAAAAGTGATGTATTGTACAGATTAACTGGACACAAAGTGATGTATTCCAAGTCTGTGTTTCTCTTAATTGTGATGATTACAGTTCACTGCTAATACAAACCTGAAATACTGTATTTTCTTTATAGAATATTAGAATTTTAAGTAAGATCAATAAAAAGGACTTTTATTCCTGAAATGCTATGACATGATTATGACATTATGACATTACATTCGTTTCCTGACAAATGTCCAGATGCTCATTGACACAGCATTCTAAGAGGATAAACTACAAATTTCATATTGTGAAGCAATATAAAATTTGCTTCACAAGGCATGATCTGCAGCTTTAGTCGACATAGTCATAGCAACCACATGTAAATGCATCCAGAACATGGCCGACAGCTGTGTCTTGCTATTCTTGAACTAGAGAACATCAGAAGTGTCTTGTTTGGACTCTGGATCAGTGGTCCAGACATTATTTCAGTTAAAAGCAAATGTTGCATTTAATTTAGAAAAAAATGCAAGTCAACAAACTCACTTGATCTGTGCCCCATAAAACATTCATGGATCACTATCAAGATGAAAATGAGCTAAGGCTGAATGTGAGCTAAAGGCCATTATCAAAGCAACATGAACTTCCTCAACATATCAGCAGAGCCGCATGCATTCAACACCAATGTGGTAATTAATGAAAATAGAGCTATGGACAAGTCTTACGCACATTTATTGTACAAGTACATGGGCATACTTTTCAGTAGATGTTTAAGAATTTAATATATATTTTTCTTTAATTTGGTCTCATGAAATATTGAAATAAAAATAAAAAATTAAGATTTTCATTAGCTATAAATTATAATCATTTAAATTATTAGAATTAAGTGCTAAAAATATTACTCTGTGTGATGAATACGTATAATATGTGTTTCACTTTTTGAAATATTGAAATAGATCTTTTTTTTTAGATATTCTGATTTATTGAGAAGACTTGTATCTACATTTATCTAATGGATTTGTTCTGCTCTGATAGGACAATGTAGACATGCAGTATGTTGTTGTGTCAAATTCCTAGAGCTTTAGATTTGTACTTACTAGTGCAAAAACACAACTAAAAATATATTTTCTTTCTCCTCTCCCTGCTTTCGTTCCTTTCACCCCACCACCACCCCTCTACATATGTAACATCTCCAATCTGGACTCATTACTTCATCTTTCGCTACATATGTTTATGTCATTTATCATCTTCAATGAAACATCCTGCCCTTGTGTCTGTCTCAATGATAATCATCTGGCAATTTTTTTCTGGTTTTGATTAATGTCCCCTCACCACATTTGATTTTTTATTTTTGTTCTTTTTATTTATGTCCAACGTTCACTTCGATTTTATCTGTTTATCGACTTGTTGGTTTCTTCCTTCTTCGCCATCTCCTCCTCCCTTAACCTGGTTGAACTCATCTTCCCTGCTTCCCCCTCCCCACTCTGTTTTTTTTCTCCTGCAGAGCACATGTGACACCCTCCGGAGTCACTCGGACAGTCTCGGATTCACGCCGAACATGTTACCTCGTCACCCGACTTTAGGCAACTTTGAGGAATTTGCTTGTTGATGACGCAACGCAGGGGCTGGGGCACATTTTGAGACTTGACGGCAAACTGTGAAATAATTTGTGCATTCAACAGATAAGCATTAAGTGTATGCTCAAAAGCAGTCTGATAGAAATAGAATATCACCATCAACACACACAAAAAGAGACCACTTCCAAAACAGAACTCAGGTTTAACACCCATGTGAAGGGCATCAATGTTCATTTCATTCACGTTTCATTTTGTATCTTTAGTTTTGTTGGACTGTCATTTCAAATCAAACAATCCTCACAGACAAATCTGTCTAAAAATGGGTCTACAATCTATGTTGAGTTTTGTAACAGCATTATGTCAGTTTTGCTGTGTATTAATTAAGAAAACAACAAATATAGGGACTGGTACGTGCAAAAGTGTTAATTGTTTTCAGGTCTATATGTCCCACCACTTAAACCAGTGCTGTATTGAATAACCATATACTTTTAAGAGGCAATTGTTGGTTGAAAGAGCTTCTAAAATCTGAATAAGAATACATGACTAGTGTTGCCTTTTGCTACATTGAGACTATTAAATGTCTCTAATTAGACAACTGTGCTTACTTGACTTTGAAAAAGAGCAGGAACTTCAATATTTGTACATTTGTACATTTGCAGTATGTATTGTTTTACAATTACTATGTGACATATTGAACCAAAATTTAATTCATTTTAAGTTGTTTTTGGTGATGAAAAAGGCATTTGATTGTAACTTCAGCTTATTTAAAATTTGTTTTGGAATTTTTTTCTTTTTTTTTGCATTTTGTCCCATTTTGTTTTTTATTTAATTCTCCCTCCCATTTAAAGGGATGCTATCCAATTATCAGTTCAAATAACATACACATGATAATATGTTTAGTCACTGAATAGACAGAATCTTAAAAGCACATATCTGTAATTTAATTCATCATAGACAACAAGGACATTTCAGCAATGCATCATGTCCAATACCAAAAATATTCTTTGTCTGACTCACATACCAGATTTTTTATTTGCCAAACTTAATTACTCCTTTCCAGATTTTTCTTCTGAAACAGAAGTTCTACCAGAACACATGACCTAATAAGTTATGTTTCAGATATTAATTGTGAATTACAAAATTATTCTGACATTAAGTAACATGTGGCTCTAATATTTACATATATTGCATTGGTACTTGAATAAAATTATCTTTTTTTTTCCTTTTTTATATGAACATCTTGGACTGAAATTTCTATGTCCTATACGCAGTCTTTGAATGAACTCAATTGTTCAAGTAATATTTTGCTGAAATGATTTGAAAATTATGTCAGGCTAACCTGCTGTAGCAGCCTTTCAAAGCATTCGGCATGCAGATGTGAGCGAATCGTACAGACAAATTGGAAAGTATAGCACTAGAAAACAAATGCTAATATTGAATCATCGCAATGACATTTGTGTAGCATTCACGTAAATTTTGTAGCAGTACAGAATATGTGCCAAATATATTGCTTTTCTGAATTGTGACAGTCATGGAAGAAAAATATGACATCACTAAAAACAGGCTGTGGCTGCCTAGCTTAGCTAGAGATAAAGTTACTATTGCTGCAGTGCCAGACAGGTAAAAAGGTGATTCTGCAACTTTTGTTTTCTCAAAGTCACATATTGTCATGCACCAGTGAAACATAATGCTGATATGCAATATTATGATAGGTTTTAAATAGCCCTGTACATTTGAAATGTTCTTCTTGACTTGAAAGAATTGGACAAAGGATATTTGCGATAGGCATCCCGTTTAGCAACTGAATGGGAAATTTGACAAAAAAAATTTAAAATATATAAAATTATTTTAAATCTTTAAAAAGTATATATAAAAACTCATTTGTGAGAAGCTAGATGTAAGAAAAACAATCTTGATTGGCTATTGTAAGACATTTTGTACAAACAACAGCATTAAAACAAACAACTAACAATGTCTTTTTAAAATGTTATGTTTAAAAGCTTAAAAACTATTTGGAGCATAGGAGAGGTTTGATTATACAGTGGCCTGCCTTTCTTCACTATAAACGAGATGTTCTGATCACAGATAAATGTAAACCAGTCCAAGAAATACAAAGTTAAATATTGGCACTGAAATTCAGAACAAGAGTAAGATATGATTTGACGTTGAAAGAAAATACTTTATTTGCCAAATGAAGTCATTGAACACATTATTACGAATTTCTAATTTCAAGTTTCATCACTAATTTGTAATTCCTTGCACAATTTATTAATCTTTACAAAACTTGGTAGCTTTAAAACTTAATTGTATTTTATTGGGATTAAATGTGATAGACCAGCACAATGTTCATATTTTAAGGTGAAAAGGCAAAATATTTTTCGACATTTGGGCGCTGTGACATTGTAGCCACTATATCAGACAAAGAATTTAAGATGACTATTGTAAAAAGAATATCAGATGAAGAAATTGAAAGAGCTTAAACAGGATTAGCCGAAAGAAAATAAAATATGTATATTTACCAAAGCACCCTATTAAGTCTGATTCTCAGTTGTTCTACAAAGAAGAATAAGGAGACATTGTTAATGAGAGATATAGTTGGTGGTGAGACATACCCCTATAGACCTGCAGCTATAATTGCAGTATTGACTCAGGGTGGCTAAATACAAATGCAAGTCACATTTTACAGATCAATTCATTTTTGCATCTCTTACTTTTATCTAAAACTTACGGACTAATTTTGTCTATCATTTAAAATCGCATCGAAGTTACCCTGACATTGAAGACTCTAGTGTAAAAATACGTGAAGTGGGATAAAGCACTGTAATATTTTGGTTGTTGCCACATTTGTTGTCTGAAAAACTACCAAAACTAACACTGTAATGGGGAAAAAATAAAATAGCAACAGGGACAACAAAAGTGACATCTTTCACTGTGAATGAACAAGAATTATGCCAGATGATACCACAACCGAATGCAAAAATAGTAAAAGGTATTCTAAACTTTTATTTAACTGAAACTTGGAAACAATGGTTTTTCACATATTTACAAATATGGAGTCTCATTGGGTTATGAATAAACACTTTATTCTGGGAGGTAGAGCTGAGTCTCGTAGCCATATCAGCTAAAGTGAAAAAATTACTTTGAGGTGATGAAATTTCCATAATCACTTTCATCTCTGGAGAAAAAAAAAAAGGTAGTTTTCATAAATGCAACATTGATTTCACTTGAACAAAAACCATTTGGCTTGCTGCTGCCCTTCTTATTTAACCTGTTCTTCCATCATAGTGTCTTAAAGGTATTCAGCAGCACAATCCCATGTGATAGTAATGTATACACTACTAAGAAGAGTTTAAAAAGACTGGTGACATTCCGAAACTTGATAGAAACTTGTAAATACCTGCAGTCAAATGCTATAAAAAAATAAATAAATAAAGCATTGCATTTTATCAGTATTTATTAACTGATAAATACACATAGATATTATTCTTTATCCATTAATAGAATTTGGATTCTACATCTTTTTGGGGATTACACGCTGACTTATAAAATAATTTGCCTCAAACATCATAACCATGCTTCACAGCACTACTCAGTTTGGTTGATTTATTAAGAGCTACATTGTACAAATTGACTGACCACTGTATACAAACATTATAATCCCAGAAAATGTAATAAGTCACAAATAAGAGTTTGTGATGTATAAATTATCTAGTATAATAAACTATATTTACCAATTCATGCTTAAGTACATAACTTTTATCTTGGTGTCATGCTTCTTCCTTTGTTTCAGGTATTTAAGTCCTTGTCTCTCAAATATCGGACCTGTAGGTACTGAGCAACCTACAGGTCTCAAACCCACCTTTTTCTTTCTTTCACATGAAAGGTTTTAGATGTAACAGTTTCATTTTATGGTGTTCAAACAGCTGTCGTGTTATTACTTTGTAGTTTGTGTCTTAGATGACTGTTGATGTGAAGCACAAACCCTTGGAAATTAGCCATCTCTTGAAAGCCAATGATGGGATGTCTGTGATCCTGACAGCCTTGTGTGGCTCTAATTTAAAATGACACACACTGTTAAATATGATGTGCCGTAGGCTCTGACAACAGGAACAGGAACGGAGCTACTTTTAAGGCAGATCTTTTAAAAGGTTTTACATTTTCAGGACAAAAAAAAGATAAATGGAGTTGCAGTAAAAGCAATAAAGGTAAATGTGGTTATGAGAATGGTGTAAAAAGAAAAAAAAGGAGAGGGACTTGAGCTACATGAAAATAGGTAAATGTCATTAAATTAGAATATTGTTGGTGAATTTATTTCTGTAATTCCATCCAGAAAAAGAACTATTTCTAGCAGGTATTGATTTTATTGATATATATATATTTTTTTATAACTCTGGTCTACAAATCCAGTATACATAAGTCCAGTAAAAACATTTTCATTTTGAAAATGTTATATCATTATCTACACAGTCGAAAAATGTAATTGCTGAAAAAGCTAGTTATTCCGAGTCCCTTATCTGAGCATTATATTGGAAAGATAAATGAAAAGAAAAACCTTTAGAGAAAAAGGTGCACGAGCAACAGGGTTGATAGACTTGAGATTATAAAACAAATTGTTAGAACATTACTGAACCAGAGACAATGTCTAAAGCATAATATCCAGGCTTAAAAAGAGACCTGAAAGTCTTCTTTTTAGTTGGAAGTATGTTTTACACTACAAGTAGCTATCGAGGTCTCAGAGTCTGGAGGATATGGCACAGAATCCAAGTTGCCTGACAATCAATTTAAAGTTTTGATTGTCAGCTATAATTTGGGGAGTCATGTCATGTGCTAGTGTTGGTTCACTGCCTGTTTTCTAAGTTCTAAGTCAGCACAGCCAGCTATCAAGACATTTTACAGCACTTTATGACTCTGCTTAAAAACTATGAGGAGATGGTTATTTTATCTATCCTCTAGACTTGAATCCATCCCACGCTACTTTAATTACCAATACTTGTTTAGTGATCAGAATATTACTATACTCGATTCACCATCAAGTAAAATCTTCGGTGAGGCCTTAAGCCTCACCGAGAATAAAGATTACAGTAAAGAAGAGAAAGACAATCACCAAACTTAACCCAGCAGACAAGCCGAAGGTTGATATGAAACAGCCTGCATTCCTTAACACGTCAGTAGAGTAATGCCACCTCAGTGCCATAATGCATTGAAGCAGGAACACATGCAAAAGAAGACCTGACCTACTGTAAAGTACAGTACATGAACGTACTTTTCAGTGGGCTGTTTAATTTCTGCATTAATTGTTTTTGTTGGTCTTATGTCCTAATTTTACAAAATATTTTTTGGTATTTTTATTAGCTGACAGTCATAATCTTTAAAGTCACCAGCGGTAAATGTTTAAATATATTACAGTGGTTAACTTTATGGATGATAGAATTACTGAAAAGAATTTATTAATTACATTCTAAATTAATGATATTAAATTATTCTGCATAAGTAGCAGGAGTGGATGTAAACATAAATCTACCAATTGTAACAAAGGTATGAAGGTGGCCATTGTATAAAAACCATTACCATCCAAACATTTAACACAGAGGTGCCAATTATTGTTACACTATGATGCTGCTCTGATGCTGCTGCATTGCTCTGATGGATTTGGGTGGGAGTTAAGTTTCTGGGGGGGAAAAAAGAAAAAAAAAACTGACTCGACTTTTCTGCATAGAGATCCTAGATGATGGCTTTGTTGGAAGGTCCCGGGTCTTTACCTCTAACCCCAACCCCTGCCTTATTACATGTAAAAGAACAGCAGAGTGTACCTGAGCTGGCAGAAATCATCAGTGAACTTCATGAAATTGATATTTACTGCATAGCTATAGTCAAAATACAAGTATTCTAAACAACAAAACTATTTTATGCTAATATTTTACAGCAAATCACACATTTTCTCCTTGCATGATCATTATGTATTCCTAATATATCAGATCTATCAATGTAATGATAGCTATGCTGTTCACTTTGTATTGTCCATGGTGTATTTCTGGAGTCAGATGAATCAAAAAGGGTTTTCATCACATCTTTATGAAATGTATTTGACAATAATACACACAAACCTCTTAGCTATTTAAGCAAAGGTTGTTAAAATATATTGCAGCTTAAATTGAAGCTAAGGTGTGCCTTTAAGACAGATTCTGACAGGTAATATCATTTTATCCTACCCAACACACACATCACAAATATCTGGAGACCTGGAGTTGTTTCATCTGGCTCTACATGCACTCTGTGTATTTTACTGTAGATATGTGATTTTAACTCTGTATATTAAATAGTTATTACACACTTGACTATGTGGTTGCCCATGAATTAAAACATTTCCTCTTTTTAAAGATCTTGACTGACATATGGCATTTTATATCTGTTTTTACACATCGCGTATTTGATATATTTACTTAGCAGACTAAGTTTATGCACGTTAGCACAGACCTTCAAGATGTTAAATTAAGATAGATTAATCCCATGTGAAAATTATGATTAATTCATAATGAATCATTTATAATTAGTCTATATAAATGATCAATTTATAATTTTCACATGTCTGAAATTTTGAATTTGCTTGGATGTAATTGGAAAGTTGCAAAAGAAAAAATTGCAAACAGACCGAAACCATCAGCAGCTATTCACTGCTATTCAAGGATGTTGGAATATGATTAATGAAGAAAACGGGTTTCCTTTTAAACAAGCAAAGTGCATGCCTCAACATAAACCTTTCAGAAAAGTTAAAGAAAAACATTTAAATTGTTATGGTATACTTCACAACACATTCAGCCGCTATCTCTGAATCAGATATAAATTCAGTGCCATTTGGTAAACTATGAATGTCACTTTACAATATTCACAACTTTACAGGTTACATTGTTGTAGAAAATATAAAATCAAAGACTATTAAAACTGTTTAGGTACAATCAAACATTTCTTATCTATGACATAAAATATATAGCACAATATCTCTTATGTACATGTAATTGAAACCTGAGGTTATTGAAACCTGGTAAATTATCTTTACGGTGCAAAAACTCTTTAATATTTGCTGTATAATTATGGATAAAAAATACAAAAACAAATGTTGAAGTATGATTGAATTCATAATTTTCACATGTATTTATCTAAAATAAATCAGGTTGACATCAGCTTTTTATCCTGCAAAGTTTAAAATATTGAATAACTCAGGAGTGAATGATTTCTCACAGAAAAGAAAAGGTGTTTCCTTTTTCACTGAGCTAAATATGGATTCTTAATGGCTTTAACATAGTAACAATGTTTGTCCAAAGTTCTACTAATGAATACAAACACAGAAGCCAGAGTGCAAAACCCATCCTTCATTCAAATAAAGCTTCTTATTACTGCTGTAATTCAGAAAAAAAGAAACGATAAAATAAGTTGGTTTTGTTTTTTTCTTTATAATTTAAATCAAAAGCACGCATCCTTCAAACATTTTAAATGCTTAAAATGTCACTAAAATCCAACATATCTATGCAACTACTGAGAATACAATTCTGTACCAACTAAAAGTTTTGCTACATTTTTAAGTAAAAGAAAACAGACATTCCATGTTTAATAAATACATGCACCCATTAACTATTTTACATAATTCCAATGAAGGAAAAATATTTTCCCCAGTGAGAAAGTTGCCCTTTTGCTTTTAGTAGCAGACACGTTACTGTAATCATCTGGAGCGGAATACAACAGCTAACTGTTAATATGGCAATTACTAAACAGAAAAAGCTCATGGTGCAAAACAATAGTTTACAGAATTAAATGTGTTGTTTTCTCTTTCAACTAGTAGAAAATCATTTTTAAAAAAAGCATTGCAGAGATAAACAGTGTCAAAATAGTAAATGTTTCACAAATGGTCATAATGTAAATATTGGTCTACTTAGCAATAGCTTTATTATTCTGAATGTCCGTGTTTAACGTGTAATGATCTTCAAAACTATTGTGACAAAGTGCACAAATATAAATGCAAAGATGGAAACAAAAAGCCTGAGAATAAAAACTTATATCAATAAAAGTTCCTTTTCATACTAATCTACAATCTGCAATGGTCTGTGGAACAAACACTTCTGAATCAGCATTTAAAATATAAGAAATGCTAAACGCATTAAGTCCTCAAAGTAAAAATAGCCTGCGGTCTTTTCATCCTTCTTTGTGTTATTTCTTGGAAAATTGTTTATTTGGTAGCAGTCACAGGTGGGGAAAATAAAATCTGCAGCTAGTTTAACCTTTAAAGAAAAGAACAAGTTTATACTAAGAAAAAATTAATTAAATCCTACAATTTATTGTATTGGACACTGAATATGCCCTATGCAAGCATTCATCATCACTGTTTAGATCACATCATGCAGATGTAACGCATTTTACAGTTAAATAGTGCTCACATAAATTATGTCGCTTTTGATATCGAAGTTTTAAACTACACCGATCCCCTTTGTTATTGGGTCCTCTGAGCTAGCTGTTAGCGTCAGCAACCCGGGCTAACCAATCTGAATTTATACCAAATGGACACAAGAAAGGTATGCACTGCAGGTAAGATATTTACTCATAAGCTTTACAGAACCAGATATGCATTAACCTTCCCTTCAATCCAGACCTGCACCCTAATGGACATTACAGAGGGTTGGGGAGACTGGAATGTAAATGTAAAGTGGGGACAGTGCATGAAGCATACAAATCTAATCAACAAGGCTGCTGTCATGCTGCTGATTGATGCAAGATAAGCTGCTTGTATGTAAGCACACACTGATGCTTCACATAACTGCCTCTAAATTACCAAAGTGGAACAGCAACAGCTTCGCAAGAACACTAATAAGGCATAAACAAAGTGCGAAATAATTTAAATATAGTGCTACACAGTTTTGTTCATGAGTTTATATACACTCATCATGAGCAATAATCAAATTTATTAGTAGAAACTACTTGAACAGCGTTGTTACAGTCCTGAGTGAAGCAAGTTACAACCCCCACAGCACCTTTGAGTTGACATAATACCAACAGGTGAAACGTTTCATGGTCAGAGAAGGTAAAGACGGAAAACATTTGACCTCAATAGGAAGAAGTGTGTTGGTGGATTGGGGAGTTAGAATCTAAGAACATGATCAAGCACTGTAGGGATTCATGCTGCAGAGAGGATGGAATAATGCTGGAGATCTTTCTCTATTTTTCAATTCCACCTCAACCCAACAGCAAGCTGGTTAAAACTGTTCCAACAGGACACCAATTCAAGCAAACATCAAAACTGGATTTGGCTTGGATAAAGCTGACTTAAAAAGGCCTGACCTAAACTTCACAATTATACTGAAAAGTTGAGTGTGGGTCAGGAGACCAAGCAACTTAACAATATTCTGCCAGGATGAGTGATCAAATATCCACCCAGGTTTATGCCAGAAACCTCTGCAGGAAAACATAAATACAGTGGGCCTGGTATAATTTACTGCCGGACTATAGGATTAGAAGTTATTAATCTATGATTTTTTTAAAAAAAATTTTCACTTCTACCCTTAATTGTTTTTGTAGAAAACAAATTTACTGAAGCTGTATATCGTATAAGCAATCTATCCTAGAAAATAGCAGTTTAAATAATTTATTAACAGCCTCAAAATAATATATTACAGATGATAAGCGTATAGAAACCTCTGACTGGAACTGTAGACATATCAATCATAAAAGTTCCTAAACAAAGAAGTTGTTAAAAGCTGACTAACTTTCAGTCGCACTTCCACACCTGCAAATATAAATATATCAGATATGGGATTACTAACACTTACACTGCTCTCTACAGGTGTTAAGACTTGTATAAGCAAAAAGAACTACTGAAACACAATCCATCAAGAATAGAAACTACATCTCCACAAAGGCGTGTTAGTGATTGATGCACTAAGTACAAGCACTTTGGCAGGCATCTGACGTTAACTCACCAAATTATATCACCATAGATGACGAGGGACCACTAAAGAAAATTGATAGAAAACAGTTTGTTGCTTTGAGAATTTAACTTAGACAAAAAAGAAAACTTATGACAATAAAATGTATTGAATGTAACCCTGCCCTCATTGGTGCTAATTAACTTGGAGTGATGTTTGAACCAAATTAAAACAGGCTTTTAACTTAAAAGACCTAAAGCTTAGCAGAGCCACTGGGGCTTTGTTCCACACAGAGGCACAACAAAATGAACTGCATGGGAGTGTCAGAATCCCAGTGAGGGATTTGCCTTGTTGAGAATCGCTCCTAATGACCAAACAGAGTGAAGGATGATTGATTCTTGCGGCTGTGGCTCGGTGACAGGCAATTTAGCATTTTAGGGTGGGCAGAAATCTGCGAAGTAGGGGTGCTGCAAGGCCTCTTCAGCTGAAATCCTCTGTACGGGATTACACTTCAACAGGTTCTGGATCGGGTGAAACAAAACATTTTTAATGAGTGAAAAACAACAACACTGAGCAAAAATTTATATCAGTAACAGCTTTGCATAAGTTTGCTGCTGTAACTACAATTAATACAAAGCGACATCTTTGAACTGTCTTAGCAGATTGTTGCTGCATTACAAGACAAAATAACTAGAATGTTAGAAGTACCTGCAGTAGATCCCTTCCTGTGCTACTTAGTTTAGGAACCACATTCACAAGGGAGGTGGTGGCTGGATACATGGGATATGGCTGGAGAAAAGCAAAATATGTATATCAGGTGTGATGCATAAAGCCATAGTTCAAGCCTGAGTAGGCTTTGCTTCTTTACCCTCTTAAGGCTTTCATTTTAGCTGTTACTTGTGTCTCTGACTATTCTACCTTTTCCCCTTTATTTAACTTTCCATTAACATATTTGAACACAACAGCCAGGTTTTTTTTAACAATTGTTCTTTCGTAGCCTTCCCACCTTGTGTATCAATGACACTCTGCAAGGCATCTGTCAATTCAACAGTGTTTATTATGATTATGTAGAACATACAGTAAGATAACATTCTTTTAGTTAAAATGATTTTGTTAGTTTGTATTAGTCCGTCTTAAACGTTTTAGTGTCATTATTGATAGTTTGACAATAATAATGTACCTTATAATCAGGAAGTTTTGTCATTGTTGGCCACTGTTCCTCAGTAGGTGTGCCCAACAATGTACAAAGTGGTTAAAGAAATTGTTTAAAAGAAAGTGTGACATCAAATTATTGACAATGTTGACTTCTTCTTGTCAACACCGAAGCAACTTAAAAAAGAAAGGATATCTGAAGATTCTTTTCAACTGGTCATCCACATCATTGCCAGGGAATAACGGCCTTCCAGCGTTAGCCAGTTCTAAAACAAGAGCAAAAATTCAATTTTGTACTGATTTAGTACAAAATAAAATGCACCACAGAAAACTGCTTTGGTTACTGGATACTTAATAGAAACTTACATTTTTTTTTCCTCCTGATAGTAGAGGTTCATTTTAAACACTCAATTTTTAAGTATTTATCACAATATCATCACTGTGTTTTCAATGAAATATAATCATGTGTTAATAATTTATCCAAGTCCACACAACCTTATGACATCCAAATGGGAGTAAGCAGTGCCCCCAACTGGTAAACTGATCACCTTGAATAGCACAGATTCACATTTTTCACTTTCTAATGAGTCCTTGCTCTGCTGCTACCTATTGATCTTTGTCTATCAAAGCCTTGTTCTTAAATTACTGCAGTGAAGCATGCCAAATGCAGGCAGCAACTGTAAGGACGAACATCGAGATGTCATTTGTTTGACACGACTGTATCTGAAATTCTCAGGATTTTTCTTCCAGTTATTTTTGAAGGCAACATTGCCACAAATGGTAGGAAGAAGAGCATCAGCTTACCTTTGATCATATGCAGTGGTCACATCATACTTTTAGACTACTTAAAAGTGCTATTCTCACTGTCATAACTGTAGTGCATTAAAAATCACTAGTGATTTTTAATGTTTACACAACTTGCTGACATTTTTCCTGAGTAATAAAAATCAGATTTTTTATTATGGATTACACAAATCAGTCTCCAAAACCCTCCAATATCAGAAAATGCTATTTCGGACTATATTTTATTGTGTGATTGTTCTTCAGTAGGCAGACAGTATCTCTGTCAACAGATGTGAAACAGTGCAACGCTGGCTCCTCTTCAAAGGATTGGTTGTTACAGAGTTACAAAAATGTAATACTGAATAAACTTGGGGGTATTTGGAGCATAAATAAAAAAATCTGTACCACCATAGCAAAAAAACACTAACATTTTTGTGACAAGGGCTTTAACAGGCAAATATATTTTAATCCATTTTAAATTGATGATGGCTAAGAGACTGAAACATCTAAACAATATCTGGATATTGAATTTTAAATAAACATTTAGAATAATATGCTTTATTATCCATCTGTTTTACTATCAAATGAAGAATTTCAGTTTTCCCAGTTCTCAAATATAAACACCTTCGCATTTACTCTTTCTACTTAATGCACAGCACTTCATAAATAAACCAAGCCTGACTTTCTCTTCGCGTGGCCATTTAAGCTTTTATGAGCATCATGAGACAGAGCCCTGACTGCAATAATTAATTCCTGCAATTAAATGAGCTCTGTTCTTACGCGAATGAATTATGCACTTTTAATCCCGCCACTGTGTTTTATTTTTTTCTCACAAGAATAAACTGAAAGAAGCAAACACATAATAACTCAATCTTTTTAATGGAAAAAATGACAAAAACAAACCTGCAAATATGCAGCCAGCTGACCACATGTCAATAGAGGTAGAATAAAGTTTAGCACCAAACAACACATCTGGAGGTCGGTACCACAACGTCACAACCTGCAGAGAAACCGAACCACAAGGTAAGGATTCACCAATAGTCAATAACTATTGCAATAAAAGTGCAACAAAAGACTGAACTGCTTGTTTTCTAAGCTAAAAGGTAATTTTGTGCCTTCTGTACCTTTTAGTTAAGAGACTAACATAAAACCCAACTGAAAAACTGAAGAAAACATACAAAAAATGTTTAAAGGATAAACAAAAAAATACAGAATAAAACAAGAAGACACCAACAACATTATTTCTGGAGAAAAAAGAACCCAGCAGCTGACAGGTAAGGATAAATGGGACTAAAGGATTGGAGTACGGCTTCTTTTTCTGTAGCTAAGCAGCAGTGTGAAACGCCTTAAAAATGATCATTGCCTGATTTTTATCGCTGTTCCAGAATCAGAGCAATTCATCCAGCATACTTTCTTTAAAATCAAACAGTCAGTTTCAAGATGAACATTAAAAAGAGAAAAAAAAAATCGATTCTAGACAAAAATGGCCCCATTTGAAGGGTCATTTGTTATTTGCATTGATTAATATGTCACAGAGTTTCTGTGCTGATAAACTAAAGGCCATCAGAAATGCATAAAGAAAATGGCTGAGATGACGGTCCTTCAGAAGACATAATGAGGTTAAACAGAACAGCTTCAAAGCAGTTGCTATAATTGGCATTTTTTTTCTCATCAGAAACACTTTGTCCAGCTGTTCCAGGAATATTATTCAATGAAACTGAGCTGTAAAGCATCAGTTAACCCCATCTTGAAGCAATACAATAGGTCTGCTATAGAAAGGAGTAAATTATATTAGAAAAGGACATTTTACTTCAGTTGGCACGGGTTTAATTAATCTTCACAAGTCCCCTGACTTTAACCCTTTCTTGCACAAGAAATGGAGTATGATCTAGATAACGACATCAGATTTAGAAAGAATAGTTTAGAGATAGGATTTAAACCCATATTCTAGTTCAAAAGTGAAAGTCCCTTGTGAGTTTCTGGAGTAGATTGATCGGAGTTCTTGTGAATGACATGTTTATAGGGATTTCAGTTTACCAAATTTTGGGAAACAGATTATTATGTAGGCAAATAACATAAAGCAGCCAAATAATAGTGAAATATTATTAATAAGATAAATATAAATAAGTAAAACTATTTTTCTGCACTTATTTTACCCAAAACTCATTTTCCTAAATCTTCAAAGGTCTTGGCATATAACTATAAAGCATAACCATTAACTTTCTTTTCCAAGAATTACAATGTACATTCACATTACTTGTAGCCACTTCCGACTAACTTCTCTCCTCTTAGAACCCCAGAGAGAGTGAGGTCAATATGTTCATTTACAAAATATACAAAATTATCTCTAGAAATGCTCTGATTTCAAACTCTCTGTGCTTTAATCTCAATTCCCCTTTGGATTTTTAGTTTTTTCTATTTTCACATCAGTAAGTCCACTTTGCTCATCCCTTACGTCACCCAAACAAAACCAGTGAGTCTACTTATGTTTGTCAGCACTATTCAATTCCTTGGAAAATAATTCATAATTTATTTATCATAATTTGTCAACAACAACGAGTAGTAATAGAGAGTTTTATGACAGATAGGCAAGTATAAAGCACCTAATAACTGAAGCAGATAAAGAAAATACATGATTTTCAATAAAACAAAAAAAAAACATGAGAAAAGTGAGAGATTAAGATGAAAAACTTAGTCCTTTTTAATCTGATACCCATAAATAAAATCCAGTTCAATCAATTGTCTTTAAAAATCACGTTAATAAATAGATTGCATTTGTGGTTCTGTGAAGGCATATTCTTAATTTTTCTTTTTAGTACATTGGTGAACAAACAGTTTTATAAAAACACCAGGCAAAGTTAATATTTTGGAGAAGTTGAAAGTGGACATACAAAGCTTTGGACAGCTCATGAGTACTCGTTCGATTCATCATTTGAAATAATAATATTAATAATAAAACCAACTGCAAAACACAGCCCTCCATTTACAATGACCGCTGTTCAAGAAGCACATTCTTAGCATTTTTGTAGTATTCGAGACAGGTCTTGAGTTCTCTTCTTGATGGTCTTGGTCTAGTCTCTGACTCCACTGCCTTTGGGATTTAATTTCAAGACCACAACTGTGGAAATATAACTAAATTGCCAACATATTGTCCAGTTTATTTAACATGTTTGTTGTCACTGAACGCAACCATACCAATTCAAATGCAAGCAATAATGTAACTTACTATTACATGTTTCCGTTACCGCTGCCATATATCGCCTCAACCTTTAATTCACACAAGCGGCGCTTCAAGACAGTGCACAGTGGTTTTCTCTGAGTGGCAGATGTCTGTCTAATCAGTAATAGAATACTGTATAAATCATAAGAAATCCAATGGCGACATGTAAATTCAGCAGCGCTTCACTTTCACAGACGGTGGTGAGTACGACTAATTTTTAAAAAGCTCAAAGAAAGGTAAGCTTATGTGGATGTAATGTTAGCAAAGTTAGCTGTGCAGGGACAAATTGTATTTACTATCAAAAAACGTCACTCACTGTGCTGAATAATTGTGCTCAGGTGATGACTGACGAGTCACATATATAGGACAAGGCTGTGACCAAAGTTTGCAATATAGTGATGTGACATTCACGAACGATTCAATTCGTCTGGATGGCTCTTTACTAAGAAGATAGACCTCGAGCCTCACTGAGAGCCATTCTTTGTTCTTGCAATGCTCTGCATACACTGCAGTAGCTATTATTATTCTATTTAATTATATACATTGATATGTATTTAATTAGCAAATAATTAATTTCCATTTTGATTGTTTTCTTCATCTGACATGGTGGCAGCATTGTGCTGCCTGCCTGGCTACATACAGAGAGAGTGAGAATAGTCATGGTGCACGGTTTGTGCTTGATTACTTCTTGCAAAGTAAATTTATACAACACAAACTGTGGTTAAAGCTTTTAAATCAGCCAGGAAGCTGATCTCCGATCGCCGACTTAGTTTCCTTTACTCTGCCCACAGCAGCCTAGAATTCTGCTCTTTAGCCTTATTTTTTCTACTGGAAACAGAGCACCTGCAATATTAATTATGCATAACTTACCTCTGCTGAGTAACATCTCACAGGAATGCCAAAAGCTCGAGCCAACCCAAAGTCAGCAAGCTTCAGTTCCCCATTCTACAGATGAAAAAAAAAAAGGTGGATATTTCATTATAATTTTCAGAATGGTCCTTACAGTCCTGCGTACCAACAGATTTAGACGTGTCTTTCTAGCTACTAAATAAGTATCTGCTAAAAAAGGTCACCAAAACAGTAATACCCATCAGTCACACTGCAATATTTCTGATTTTAACATTTTCAAAGCAGCAAGTAGACTGGCCCATACTAATGTTTACCATAAGCCATGTCAAAGTCCAAAACTCACTCTGTTGATGAGAAGATTTTGTGGTTTCAGATCTCTATGAAGAACATTTCGACTGTGACAGAAAGCGAGGCCTTTCAACAGTTGGTACATGAACGACTGCAGAGTAAAGACAGGGATATTCAGTTAGTTTTTACTTTTTAACAGCTGTAACAAACACGATGATCAAAATGTCAAACATTAAGCTGCCTTTAAAAAAAGAAAGAAAAAAAATGCATAGCACATTTCAGGACAGGTGCTTTACATTACAAAAACACAGTCAACAATAGAAGCATAACACTTTAAAAAGTGCCATTGTTACACGTGAAAATGTTGATTGTTTCACTTATAATTCAAAGTAGAAAAAAATAAAACAGTAGGATTTTTCTCAGTTGCAGTGTCCAAATTTCTCACCTTCACAGTTTCAGGATCTAGATCCCCATTACAGCTGTCAAAATATTTCTTCAAATCCTGCAAAGCATCATAAACATATTGTCTTTTAGCCATAGACTTTAGTTACCAAACTCAAGGGTTTAATTAGACTGGCTGAATAACTCACCTGATCACAATATTCAAAAACCAACGTTAACTTCTTGTCACTGTGCAACACATCATGCAATCTAAAATAAAAAATACAATTAAGAATGTTCAATGTTGCCGATTTCAGATTGAAAAACAAGACAGCTATTTACAGCCCACAAGTAAATCACACAAAGTATATACGTATAGAGAAAAAAAAACATGCAGCAGGTTTACCTGACAATGTTTTTATGCTTTAGTTCTTTCAGAAGACAGATTTCTCTTAAAGCAGAACTTGGCACCCCCTGTAAGCAATATACATTGGAGATGGGCGTTCAGCAGGCTAATGCTAAATCACAAAAAGTGCAACTGTCAGCAATGGGTTCAAACCTCGTCGTCGTCGTCCAACCTGACCCGTTTTAATGCCACAATTTCATGCGTTTCTCTGTTTTTAGCTTTAAAAACAGTTCCATATGTACCTACAGAATAAACAAGGCCCCATTAATCACAGAACACTCCACTGTCGATAAATTGCATAGCAACTCAAGCTAGCAACCTTCCTATCGCCAGCTGAATTCAACATCCTAAAATTAAAATTGTAAACAAATCCATTTCACATTTAATAAAAAATAGTAGAAACAGCACAGGATGCATTTTCCAGGAAGGGTCAGTCAATACGAGCATATATTTGACAGCCTAGTTTAAATGATCAAGCTCTATAAAACCATTGCTACGCTAGCATTAGCTGCGGCTAGCAGCTAATGTTTTTTAAGACAAAACTTACCCTCTCCAATTTTTTCAAGCTTTTCATATTTCTGCATATTTGGTCAGTGAAGCCAGCCTTGAGCTACCTTGCAAACCAATGACCAACAAACCCCCCCAAAATGGGGTAGACAAAATGAAACGGTATCTACTGACGCTAGCTAAATCTGGAAGCACTTGATGCTTATAGTCGGATTGCAAACAGTAGCACAACTATATTTGTGGCCACCTAGAGGTTGACAGGGCAAACTGCAATGTGACAGCATGTTTCTGGTTCCTACATTTCACCATTGGCATCGTGAAATACAAACAAAATGACAAGTCCTTTCATTCTTATTTTAGAATTAGTGTAAGAAATATATATAAATATATAATATAAAATATATAATATACGATATATAAATAGCTATAAAAATTGTTAAATTACCAACTTGGCTCTTCATTCTTTCTTAAATGTTTTTAAAAAGGTGTTTAAGTCTTAAATGTTTTTAAAAAGGTGTTTGGTATGCCTTGTGGTACAGAGGCATACCAAAGTAACACAGTTTTAAAAATCGCAATTTTTTTCCATAATAGCACTCTTAAAATTCTTCTTGAGAAGAAGCTAAATAAAGTGCTTGAGTGAGCGTTTGTCAAACATATCAGAGGTTAGAATAGTGCCACCTCTCAAGTGTACACTCCTGGTGTTCTCACTAAAAAAGTGATCTCACACATTATTTTTGTTCACAATAAAGTGGAAATACTTCCATGGGAAAAAACACAAGCAGTTGTGGTGTACAACCTGAAGACGAACATATCTGTGAAATATTTGACTTCAAATTGCAAATGCAGCCTTGGAAGAAAAGGTGTCTACATTTTGACATTTCAAGAGTATGTTCCATGCACCAAATGTATTGCTTAACTGTGTAAACCTGTTTAAAAGTTCAATTCCACTGACAAGGTTGTCATCCATTTAAGTAATATAGATAGCAATTACCAACAAGAAAGAATTGGGAGTGCACAGGTAGGCAAAATTAATTCAAAAATAGTAGCCGTTTATGTCTAAAGGTTGTATGAATAGATTACTGTTAGCCAAATGATTTGTTCCAAAATTTGCAAATGGTGTACAGTATTCCAATATAAATACAAATTTAAACTAACTTTTTTTTAAAGAAACATAAGACATTGGTGCTAAACATAAATTCTTTAAGTACCAAATCTAAATAAAGACATTTCTCATCTCAAAAAGATTTTATTTTTCAAAACTAAACTTTATAATTTAATTTGTTTCATAAACTCAGTGCAGTAGCATTTAAAAAATCATCACATTTTAATCCACTTGGTACACTTAACACACATTTACCATTTACAAATGTTTGATTTTTCTATTAAACTAACCGAAAAGAGACAAGTTCATTTTCTATCCCGGCAGATGTTGTCCATAAATTGAACTCATTAATGTATTACTGCACAACTGAAAACTGTTTGTAAATCTTTATTTCTGCCCCTCAGCTCTTTGTCTGCGGATCAGATCAGAATAAAGTCCTCCTTTGCTCAGCAGTTCCAAATGTGTTCCAGCCTATGTGAAAAGAACAACTTGTTAGATGATACATTAGATAGATGTAACATTACAATAAATTTCTAAAAATTAAATTACAGTGTGTCATTTGGGGGTTTATTTTTGAACTCCTTCATGAGCCAATACATTTAATTGAGTGCCCATGCATCTCCAAATCCTCACCTCCACAATGCGGCCATTGCTCATGACACAGATTAGGTCGGCCCCCTGGATGGTGCTCAGTCTGTGGGCGATGATGAGCACAGTGCGACCCCTTGTGGCCCTGTCCAGTGCTTCCTGCACCACCCGCTCGGATTCTGCATCAAGGGCACTGGTGGCTTCATCGAGCACAAGGATACTGGGGTTCTTGATTAAAGCTCGGGCGATGGCAATCCGCTGTTTCTGGCCCCCTGATAGCGTCACACCTCGCTCACCTAGATATAGAAACCCAGAAGCTTAGAATTTACATGCAACAGAGCGTTTCAAAAGAGATTAAGCTTAAAAGGCAGCACGTACCAACCATGGTGTTATAGCCATCTGGGAAGCTCATAATGAAGCGGTGAGCATTAGATTGCTTCGCTGCACTAATGACCTCAGCATCTGTGGCATCAGGCTTCCCGAAACGAATGTTCTCCATGATAGATGATCCAAACAAAACTGGTTCCTTCAAACAGAAAAGAGAATGCAATGACACCTATATTTAAATCTGAACAGACGTTTAAACACATTAACTATTCTCTGTGTTCATTATTAAGGTGTATAAAACAATCTACCTGATTGATGAATCCAATAACTTGGCCCCTGAGCCAGGCCAAATCCAGCGTGCGAATATCAAGTCCATCCAACATGACCACACCATTGGTTGGGTCATAGAAACGCTCCAGTAAGGATGCCACTGTGGACTTCCCTATAGGGTTTAACTTTTATGAGTAAACCTTGAAATCGCTTAGATATCACAAAATGAAATGTAATGCCATTCTGTCAGAATACCTCCTCCAGATTCGCCAACAATTGCAACAGTTTTACCAGGTGGCAGCGTTAAACTGAACTTCTTCAGGACTTCATGACCAGGTCTCATTGGATAACTATTGATGCACAAAAAAATAAACATTTATTTTATGTTATGTAACAACCTCATTCAGTTCTTAGAAGTGTAGAACATGTTATATGTGTTAAACCTGAATGAAATGTTCATGAAGTCTACTCTTCCAATCAGAGAGTGGAAGGGGATGCGTCCTCCCCCAGAGAGAGGAATGGTTGGCTTTAAAGACAGGTATTCAAAAACCCGGGCCCCAGCGCTCATCCCTCTTACCACCTGCATGAAAGTTTCATTCCACAAGAAACTTTAGAAGCCAAAGTAACAATTGAAGAATATGGACAACATTTTGCAAAAGTATTTATATTCCTTGAAGTTTTACACACTTTGTCTTCTTAGAACTAAAATCCTCGATATATTTTATTGGGATTAGATGTGGTAGACCAAGACACTGTGGTCCATAATGGAGATATGAAAATAAAATGAATGCTGGTTTTTAAAGTTCTTTTTACAAATATAAATCTGAAAATTAGCCTGTGCACTAGTGTGCAGCCACCTTCACTTGCACCTTTTTTGTAAGGCACAGAGAACAAACATGTAACTTTAACTTACCTGTCCAAAAAGGATGGAAATACTGGCCAAGGACCTGAGCACAAAACAGACGTATATTATTTATTACTGAAATAAGTTGAGTTTTGACAATTGCATTAACTTTTTTATTGTGAATCAGATGAAGAAATAAACATGGTGCATCTCATACCTCTGAACAGTCTGCGAAGCAACCAAGAAAGACATCAGGTCTCCAGGAGACATTTCATTACTTGAAATTAACGTCCCTCCAGCAAAAATAGTTCCCAGCACAATGCCTGTTTGGACAGCATCAGAACACTGGCATTATTGGAGGTCTGACATATACTGTCAGACCTTCAGACCTGTTGAAGATCTGACATGTACTGTCAGATCTTCAACAGCAACAATGTATACACTCACAGTTCAGTGCCACGTTTGACAAGCCTTGGAAAACTGCAATGCCACCACCAAGATTTTCATTCATTTCACATGATTTGTCGACTTCATGTGCATACAGTCTGAGAAAAAACAATAAATTATTAAGTATAGTTAATTTTTAAGAAGTATTTCAGAAAGTGCCTTAACTCACCGGAGTTCTCGTTCCTCCATAGCAAAAGCTTTCACTGTTCGGACATTACCCAGAGCCTCATCTGCCACCTCTGTTGCTTTTGCTACCTGGATTTGAACAATAGGCAGTCAGATAGTAAATTAAACATTTTGAAAAATATTTTTCATGTCTGATTTTGAGAGCAAACAACAAGCATTAACGTACAGAAGTATTCATAATCCTTCAACTTTTCAGATTTTGTCATATTATAATCACAAACTTTAATCCAACAATACCATAAAGTAAAATAAAAAAATAGAAATAAAAATCAAAATAGTACAATGTGCATTTGTGTTGAGCCCCATTTGGTCAATACTTTAAGGACATTCTGATATTGTTCATTGCAAAACAACAACAACAAAAAAAAAAAAAATCACAAGCTCAAGATTACTGGGTTAATTCAGTCTGTGTAGATCGCTTGTCAAGTCTTGCCACAGATTCTCAATTTGATTCAAGTCTGGACTTTACTTTGCTGCACTGACTACTTGTTTGGTGGGTGTTGTCCTGCTAAAAAGTGAATCCCCATGACTGGGTTTCTCTCATGATTGTTCTACATTTAGAAAAGTCTAATTTCTCCATACACTATGACCAGCTTTCAAACTCTACTGAAATAATGTCTCTTTGTAGCAAGAGGCTACCACCATGTTATACTAGAGGGTTTCTGATGACCACTGCTAACTACACAAACCACTGCATGTAGACCATATGGTTCAATTTTGTCATCATCTGGTCACAGCACTGATATAGAAAACTTTAAATAAAAACGTTGATATCGATGGAGTGATAGCAGTAGGAGTTTGTCCTGTAATTGGCAGGTTGCTGGAAAATATTATACACGATAAACATTTTATACATTTGTATTTATGTACACACATATCAATACTATACCATCACTTCCTTTTGTTTGCTCCGTGTGCTAACAGGCTTTTGCTAGAAGGATTTCCTTATGTCAAAATGTAAAAAATGCAGGTCAGCAAAGGAACAAACATCCTAGATAAAGAGTCCATGCATTCTTTACTTCATCATCCTGTTTCCATGCTATTCTTTGCTTTAGCATCTGTTTCCTGTTATACAAGTAAGCAAGCCTTGAGTCATTCAAAGGTGTGAACACTTTTCTTTAGGTAATCATAAAATCCCATAACAGTACCTATTTCCACATGTTTGACATTCCCATACATTACCTTCTCCAGGAAAGGTTTCTTCTGTATCCTTGTTTTTCCATTTTAATACTTTGTGTTGGTCTTTCAAATAAAATCTGAACATTTTATCCATTTTCTTTTCAGGTCACCATTATGGAATAAAATACACTGAAGTTTGTGGTTGTAACACAATCTAATGCGAAAAAAAAAAGTATTTATAATATAAAATATTACCTGTTCTTGTGCGAGACGAGATAGTTTGCGCAGAAATGAACCAATAAGAGCTCCTGCTCCCACAAGACATGGGAG